CAGGCCTATACATTTATCTCTTCGGTTGGGCTAGCCCCATACTACACAGAAACGTCAACCGAGACGTCTCTGTTACCAGCTTTGCAGCTGGTCATAGCAGTAGTCAAAACATGAAGTAAATCAATGTGTGTGTGTGTGTGTCTGTTGATTAAGTGGTGTGTAGCTAAAAACATTCTCACGACCTCTAGTACATGTCGTGACTTAAACATAAGAACATATTATGGCTAAGGCTACAGTTATACACGTCGTAATAATAATATTAAACACCCTGTCTGCTGACAGTCATCAACTCTTCTCTCTAGTTATCCTTGACCAGATGTACCCTGTAGAAACTCATAAGCATGACTAAGCATTTAACAGTCTAACTAGACATCCTATCTCCACTAAACATTTCTAATACATAAAGTATCTATCCAATCTCTATCTGACTAAAAATATCTAACAACACTTGAAATGAACTCTGGACCTTTTATCTGCTCATTGTAATTGGGATGAGGGAATAGCACACCCTGCAATCTGGCCCGGTCAAAGTGGAATATAATAGATGGATCTCTGATAATAGATGGATCTCTGTGGACACTGTTCAGGTAGACATAGTCACACATTCTTAGTCTTTATGATTTCACAGGTCAAGGATGCTATGTTTAAGAACATGTCAGTTCTTAGGTTTGTGGTTAATTTGTAGTCACATCACTTATGTTAACTTTTTCTTGAGTGTTTTTTTCTTGACCCTTTCACATATTTATAACGTTTTTTTCTTCAGCAACATTTTTCTGTTACAACAGGATGCCTGTAGGTTAGCTATCAGATGTGGAATAGACTTCCTATAACCACAATCCTGTCTTTAGCACTCCTTTTCTAGAGTGTGATACCAGGTTACAAAAACTCCAGTAACCAAAAAGCTTGTTAGTCAGTGACATGCAATGTGAAACCTACACAAGTCGGACAAGACAATGGTAACCTTCCCACTGTAGTTCAAAGTAAAGGTGTGATCACAGCCTCAGCCTGCGGTTCACTCACTTTGACTAATACAGCAGAAACCTGAGAGTATGATATGGGTTTTGTTTAATGCTGACTGAGCAGACATGATGTGATCATCACTACTTTCAGTTTTAGCTTTGTCATCTTTCCTCAGCACACAAATCAGCATGGCTTATTAAAAGACTTTGCAGCTTTCTGTTATGCAAATGACCTCATTGTACTGAAGGAGGACCAAAGTGTCATCCAGGAACACATCATTGTATTAGTGTACCTCATAGGTGAAACTGTGTCTTTATTGGAAGTCACAGTTACACTAAAGATGGTTCTACTGTATATTTAGCCTTCTTAGTGCACACGTCTTTTCAAAATAAATCATGTCTCTGTTTGTGTGTTTCCCCCCCACAAAAAGTCATGATGTGAGGGTTGCCACTTTAACCAAGAGGCAGAAGCAGATCAGTTATTAGTATTTTTTCCCCCTTACATTTTTTTAAAGAATTTTGATGGTGACATACACTGAGGGGGATGTTTTACAGTTGAAAAATCTACTTCTCAGTGATGCCACTTTCTTTTTTCAGACCCAGCTTGGCATTTCTGTGCGGCAACTTCTTGTCCCCTGCCAGTCAACGTATACTCTGGTACCAATAAATCTGCAATATACAGGATAAATTGGCTTGAGCAGACTATTTTCAGAGTAACTATGTTGTCAGTAACAATAACTGCAGTTTCCGGAGACTGTGCAGTCTTGACAGAGATGTGCTGAGCTTTTTCTAAGAACACATCGTGTTTCTTCTTGGAAAGGCAGTTTGTTTTTTTTATTCTGAGAAAGGTATTTGCTTTCATACAGTCTGAAATTAACGCCTGCCAGCCACCAAATGCAGGTAGATTTTCCAATTGGCAGGTAAAGCTCAGAAGACTTCGCCCCACACTCGGGGGTAAACGTTTGTAGCAAAATAGTCATGTAATTAAACAGCATCCTGAGAGTCTCTGCTGTGGGCGCCCTGCTTCTGTGTCAGTTTGACAAACGCACACATATTCTGTGACGTCCCGGCCCTGCTCTGCCTCTGACTGGCTTTCTGAGCAAAGTGTAAAAATGAGCGCGTGAGTCTCTCTGGACTCCTGAGGAGCTTTAAGTTGGTTCAAATTATTATGGATCCAATGGGCTTAAAAAACTTCAAATTTACTTTTGTTTCTTCCTGAAGTGAACTTAATAGCAAATATGTTAAATGGAATTTGGAAATAGACTTCTCGAGTTACAGTGTGGCTTTTAAGTTTTAAATTCAAAACTGAGTTAAATGAGTTTATTCACCACTGACTGATATAGGCTATTAAAATAATTTAGCTTCAGATTTTGCTCTGGCCTTTTTATGTTTGTACTCAACATAATAAATAGAAATACATGTAAAAATATATTGGGGTGGTAGATGTTTTTCATCTCCCAGCCACTTTGGCTGGTGAATCAAAAAGTTAACTTTGGACCCTGCTGTCATAGGTGACCGTGGTTGGATAAATGCCTGAAACATGCAGTAATACGTTTGTACAAAAATTGTGCAACACACCATGAATGTGGTCAGATCCCCGTAAGTCAGCTGATTAAAGAATCCCGTTCTGCAGCGTTCCTCCCTGTCAAACCGATCTGGTGAACCAGATTATCTGCTGTCTTCCTGCCTCCCTCATTCCAGACCCATGAGTCTGAATTGTTTCATTGTCTCAGGCTGGTTTCATGCTAACATGCCATTATTCTAGTACATAGACGTTTACTAAGATGGCTGTTTGAGCCGGTATGTTTGGCTCACTGGTGTTTTTGAGGAATAGATGTTCTCTCCAATCATATGAAGGATAAGAAAAGTTAGGAAAATAAAATGTTTTAGGTTTGAATCAAACTGAAATGCTGCGCCTATAAAACAGACTATCCCTTCATTAGTTATTTTGTTTTATATTGTGTTAATTGGGGCAAGAATATAGCACGAAGCAATGCAGCATGCCACAGGATTTATAGCTAAAGCTTGTTTGCAATCCTGCCCCTAGATGGGCCTTTAAGTACATAACAGTCAACAATAAAATCCTTGCAGAACAGCACAGAATGCAACGGTAGACGTCCCAGGAATATTCACAATCCAGTGCTGATGGTTTTTTTAAAAAAACAAAACGTGTAAAGCCTCAGTGAAGGTAACGATGGTGTTAGTGAAAGAAGTTATGTTTGTATCCTGCCTGCTCTGTTAGTAATAAATCTCTACCCTCTTACTTTTTGATTTACAGTAACATCGCAACAAGATTAAACAAGATTTATTTCAAGACTGAGAGATGATTTTGTGGTGTGGAGCCAAGGCCATAAAAACCTTCTAAGTCCATCTTAAAAAGTAAAACTAGCCATGACACGTTTCTAGAGATGGCAGCAGCATTCTGTCGCTCCATCACTGTGGTCTGCTGAAATCCAACAAGATAGATTGGGACGACTCCTTTCATCACCTTATTCAGACACTGATGATCCCCAGAGGCCTGACTTTAACTCTGCCAGTAGTGGCAATGAAATACGGGACAGACACTCATGTCAGGACTAAATGTAATAACTGATGATCCCTTAACTTTGCTTACTTTAATTGTTTGAAATAAAGATTAATACCACCCGCCTGCAGTAAATCTTTTATTTCCGATTGAAAACCCCCCAAACATCTCTCTGTCTTCCTCCAGGAAATCCTGAGAGTCCCTGGTCAATTGGAAGAGGATGGGACGTCCTGTGGTGCTTTTGTTTCCAGTGAGAGGAAACTTCTGTCACTTTGATGCTGTGTCTTCATTGGTCCATTTGGTGTCTTGTGAAGTCTCTCAAGTGTCAACTGATTGGTCCTTCAGTCCACTGTAAAGACTTGCCAGCCAATCAGCCTCTGCCTGAGTGAGTGCCATCTCCTCTCCCCCCACCAGCTGCTGCAGTCAATCAGCTTTTTATTCAGCTGGGTCTGTGTGTGTGTGTGTGTGTGTGTGTGTGGCCTTTAATTGCCCCCCTTTTCTCTGCAAAACAGCAGGTCCGCCCTCCTA